GGCTTAATTAAGGTTATCGACTCACTGTTGTGTTGCTGTCTACTTAGCCTCAAAGAACAAACTGTTACTGTGATTTAAAAACCACAATAATGGGGAAGGGTAAAATAACGCAGCTCTTAACAGCTCCCAGCAACCAAAGAGGCCAAATGACATTTGAATAAAACAGTAGTTACAACCAGAATGAAGAGAGCCCTTTCCAAATCTCAAATGGGAGAAGTGGGAAGCAAACAAAAAGCAGTTGCACAGAGTGAGCTCTCAGAAACCACAGAGGAAAAGCAGCTCACCAAGGAGGAACTTGAGCTTGCCTGCAAAAGGAAGTCACTCAGATGCTCTTGTGCTAAACAAGCCAAAGAAAGAAGGCCGAGTTGAAGGAACAACCTCCATGACTTACAGAAGTTCAGTGGCACAGTCCTGGAAACATAAAAGGCTTCTGCTGTGATAAGAGGATAGGACCACTTTATTTGTTATTATCAGAGACCGATTTGCAGTCATTCTTTGCATGAATGTCTCTGTGTTTTGCACCTGGTAAGGGTTAAGCCAGGATGCTCCCAAGCTTTGGGAAAGGTATCTTTAAACTACTGGGAGTCTGTAGGAGAACAAGTCAAGGTAGAACGTTTGGCACAGTAATAACAGTATTTCGGGGACTCTAGTTTTTAATTAAAAGTGGGAATTTTGACAAGGACTACCAGAGAGAACACAACCAAAGACTTACATTTTACATATTCCCATGTTTAAGGGGCTACTAAAAACATATGGAACCCCTTTAGATATAATCTATAAAGCAATCAGTGGAATATACAGAGAAAATTTTAATGGTTTTGTGCAGAAAATCTCGCTGTCAAGAACTGAATGTCTAAAAAGGAGACAGAGGAGTCCTAAAACTTTGTTCGAATAAAGGGAGAGTCCACCGGGCATATCCCTGTGGGGTCTCTCAAATTGCTGGGGGACGCAGCCCCCCTTTTATCCTAATTTCCCGACCGAGGGACGCCCTCTCCTTTTCCCCATTGACCAAGGTACTCAGAAGTTACAGCCTTCCCGGCCCGCCTACACCGAACTCTGGCCTCCCGCCATCTGTTCTCACCTGAGCTCACAAACTCCTTTGTCCCCCTTGCTGAAGAATGTGGGGGAATTGCCCTATTTCCCTCCTTTGTAAAGGCCCCCATCTCCTTGCAGATGGCTCTTTTTGTCCCACTCGCTCATGGCTCCACTCAGTCTCCCCTCCCTTTGTCCTGCTCTTCAGCCAAACTGTGGAGAAATCCCCTTATTGATGAATACATAAACTTGAGCATTCCGCTCAGTTTTGTGACTATTCTAATTTTGATGGTGGGAAGATGCTTCAGAAAATATTTAAAATTATTTAAAATTTATTTTAAAATCAAGGTATTAACACTGCTTTACATCATCATCATGCAGTGAGCAACGTTTTGAAGTGGTGTATCTGAAATCCCAGCAGAATAGGTGAGCTTTGCAGATTCTCCCCTGAAGGCTGTCCAATATTTTAGGCACTTCCTACCTCTTTTTGTAATGCTACACCAAGGTGTTCCCAAGCTGCAAGCTTAGCACTGAAGGTCTCCGAGTCAGATCTTAGGAGCTGCAACTTTTAGGCTAATTAGGATTATTAAGATTGCCTTCACTTTGACTGCTATTATCTTAAGACATTACCTTGGCCCTAAACAACGCGGAAATGCTTGGCATGGTTATTTTCAACGTGTAACCACGGCAGAGGCCGCCGCTTTTTCCCAGCCCCTAAACAGCAGCGTTAACCCCACTGTTACACACTACATCACAGGGAGGGAGCCCAAAGTGCATTGCCCGGCAGAACACGGGGCTTCGTCGCAGTCCAGACGCAGGCCCTGCCCCGCGAACCGGCGGCAGCGGAGCCCAGCCTGCCGCCAAGGAGGTGCCCCAGGCCCAGCGGGGACGCCACGCACCGCCAACAACGGCGCTTTCTCCAGCCGCTTGGAGCGCGTCGCCTTCCCCCCGCGCCGGCCGTTGGGGAGGGGGGGGCCGGCCCAGGC